GACTCCGTGGAACTTGTGTTTCTTCGTATCTCGCGAGAGATTCCGATTTTAACGAAACTTCGCACACACGCAGGTGGAGCGAAGAGATGAGTTTGGAAATTGTCAGTCAATGTCGAGAAACGGTTTCAAGGGATGAGCGCGGTGTAAAGTTTTTGTTAGTGATTGTTTCGTCGGAATATTATTGGCGTAGTTGACCAGAGGTAATTTTTCCGTAAAACTGTTGCGTGAGACATTTTTCGCTACTTCAAGTAGTTTACGAGACGCATCGAGAGAAGTGGAAAGACGCTCCCCGCGTGACGATAAGTTCGACCCCTTGAAACCATTTTCTGGCATCGACTGAATATCTCGAGATTCGCCTGTTACACCCCGCCTGCGCAAAGTTTCATCGATGTCAGAATTTCCGGTTTCGCGAGGTTACTTCGTCAGTCTTATCGGCGGATATATCGGGACGAGGAGGTTGCTTGCGCATAATGAATTCTCTCATCGGACACGTACTCGTCGCGCGGGACGCCTCTCGCCGTCGTGGAATATCTCTTTAAGGAGCGGTAGACATTTTTCGACGGTCGGTCGCGCCGCGACAAAGAAAGTTACGGCGCGCGTGGCTACGCGACGAAGGTCACTCGATTTTTCCACCATCTCCCGCCCGGACGACCCATTGGCTAACTTTTTTCGCGCGACGGTCCACCCTCGTCGCACGCGCGTTGGGACAGAGACTCGGGATAGGGTGGACAGGACACGGGGCTGGTCGGGGGCACGCGAGATACGACCGGACGCGACGCTACGCTCTTTTCTTCACTGCTTTTCTTGTCGCCGCCGACCGGAAGGCCGAGCGAGACAGAGGGCGAAAGGGTGGACGCGCGCGTCTCGGACAGCCGGGACGGGACTCTCCCTCGGCCGTGAATCGCCGCGGCACACGGCGAGGGGCAGGGTGAAGGAGAGAAAAAAAAAGGGGTCGCGCCTCCCCACCCCCGCGGACTCATACTTCCACGTGTACACCACGTGGAAAAAAGGACGAGGCCAGCGTAAAAAAGCGGCGCGTGGGGGTCGCCAGGCTGGTGGGGGCTTGCGAGCCGAGGTGGCCGAGAAAGGGAGGGAAAGAAGGGAGAGAAAAGGACGCGGGAAAGGGTGCACCGTGTAGGGTAGTAGCCGCGCGCGGTACGCGATGCTCAGCGAGGGTAGCAGGCGGCGTGAGAGGGACAGACGAAGGAGCGAACAGGGAGGGGAAAGACGTTCGCCGGGGAAGGGAGAAATAGGAGCCTAATGCGATGGTGGGGTAGGTACGTTAGATGAGAGAGAGAGAGCGCTCGACAGGGCGGCAGGGGTGGTGGAGGAGGAGGGAGAATATGGGGAGGAAGGAAGGGGTGGCTCGGTTGTCTACTTCGAAGCGAGGAGGGTGCGTAAGACGAGAGCGGGATGACCATCGACCACCCTTCGCCGTGAAATGAGCATCGGAGCGCGTCCAGCGGGAAAGTCGACGTCCTCCGTCCGCGGGGTCGATGATCCATGTTTAAATCGCGATTTGACTTTCAAAACGCGAAGGGTGGCGGGCGCGATGACGGATGACGAGCCGAGTGACGCGGCGACACGCTGTACTTTCGCCGATGAGTTCCGCGATCGTCTAATTGGCCACGGAGGCTCGCCAACTTGGTCGCGAACTTGGCAGCCGGAATATCGCGATACTCCCGTAGTAGCGCGTCGCTCGTAACACGTAATAAAGTCGACGGACTCGCGCGCGCCCCGTGAAGAGGGATAAAAAAGAAAGCCTGCCCCTCGACTCCCCCACGATGGCATGGTTAGTCACGCGTGCGTTGCCATACGGGACACGAGGGAGGAGGCCATTTTTATACGACGGTCCCCCTTCTTTTTATTCGTACCTCAGACTGTTACACCCCCTTACACACAGAGGAGCCGTAGGATTTTTCGGTCAGTCGAGTAAGCCGATTCGTGGCATCCGCACGTCTCGTCGGATGATTTTCGCCGCGATTTCTCGCCGTTACGACGAAACGAGTTGCGAGAAAGAGAGGGAAAGAGAGAGAGAGGAAGAGAATTCTTTGTGCCAGGAGAGAGGCTCTCCGAGGGAGCGCGAGTCCGAGTGAGTTGATACGGCCGGAGATGATCGGTGACTTATACAGGCGAGAAGTTTTCAAGGACGAGCTCTCGGGAAAAAGAGTCCGCGAGCCGCTCGTACCGCGGCGGTACTTACGTGCGCCGGAACGTAACCGCGAAGTATAAGATCGCGATAGACAGGGACAGATAATCGGTTCTTACGCGAGGGTCCTCTTTCTCCCTCCCTCTTTCCCTCTCTCGCTCGCTCGCTCTCTTTCTCCTTTCCTCCCGCCTGAGGAGAGGGTTTTCTTGGCCGGGTGAAACGGAGACGGAGCGCGACCCCACTCTCTTTCTCACCCCTTACGACGCTTACCCCCGTACGAGGCGTCGGCGGCGGAGAATCCCCCACCCACCCACCTGGCTGCGGGGTGAAGGGAGAGGAGAGTTTGAGGAAAAGGGGGAGATAGAGCGCGCGCCTCGGCGTCCTGCTTGGTGGGGGCAAAGGAAAAGAGGGGTAGCTTGAAAACTCCTGTCCTACGACGGCTTCAGTTTTTCGTCCTGCCGGAGGTAGATTTTCGTCGTGGGAGGACGCGGCAGGGGTCACGAGTCGGTCCACGGTAACCTGGGCCTACGCCCAGGCCCGTCGGACCCGCGCGCGACGTAGCCGCGGTAAGAAAGGGCCGAAGGCGAAGGCGCTCCGAGGTGGCCAGAAATTTCGCGGCCGCGCACCACCTAAGACAACGCCCCTACCCGAACACGCGTTCTTTAAGGCACGAGGGGGTGGCTTTTAGTCAGACGCACGCGGTCTGAGAAGCGCGCCACCACCGGCCCCCGACGGAGAAGGACTTAGCGTTTCTCGCGAGCCGCAGACCCGAGTCAGTTTCGGTTCCTCCTCCGTCAAGGACTCGAACGCGGAAGAGGAGAGAGCTTTTTCCCCCGTCGTCGTATACGTCGTCGTCGTCGTCATCGTCTTCGTCGTTGTCGTTACTCGTCGTCGAAGAGGAAGAACAGTGTCTTGGCCGATACCGTGCACGACGGTCGCGATACACACACACACATACACAGAGAGAGAGAGAGGGAGAGAGAGAAAGCACCCGGGGAGCGAGGTGCGACGATCGTTTTACGCGTACCGACCATCCGCCGAACTCGTCGTCATCGTTCGCCTCTGCCCACACTCGTCGGCCGCAACTCGGATCTCTCCACCGTAAGGGATCCACCGGATTCTTTTCTCCCCGGGAATGTCACGCACCGCCGTACGATCTCTTGTGCCTACCGAGTGTGAACGTGCGACTTGGCGAGAGAGGAGCGCGAGAAGAGCGGCGGCTTCACGATCGCGCGCGTTTGTGCTACGATCGGCGATCGCCGCTTCTTCTTCTTCCTCTTCTTCTTTCGCACGATTTTACCGAGTTTTCCCCACTTTCGCCCGAGACCACACCACACTGACCCACCCCCTCCAGCCCCCTGTGCTTCCGACATGCCCGGTAACGTCATCGTCGCCGTCTCTACAGTGTCTCGTCGCGATCGCTTCGATCTCCGTCGCGATCTCGGGGGTGATACGATGTGCTTCGGTAAGATCGCGAGGAGAGATACAGCGCGCGAAAACGTCCGGGACGATGGGAAGTCCGCGAACGCGACGATACGATCCGCCGATCGTTGGGAGAGAGAGAGAGATAGAGAATGTTCGTGGGGAAATCCGCGAAATACCGGTGCGACCGAACGTTGGTCGCCCCGGTGGAATCGCGCGTCCGCGAAGAGAAACGAACGAGTCGGCGGGGTTACGCGAATACCTGTGCGCGATTTCGAATCACCCGGACTCGAAGTGGACACTCGCGTAAACCCCCGGCGCAACGAATTAATCGCCGTTTCATTGACACCGCGCGTCGTGGTGATTTCCCCTCAGTGTGCGGCGTGAAAAAATTGGCCGCGCGCTGACGAATGAGGGATTAACTCGCGTCCAGCCCGGGCGAAGACGCGTTTCCTCGTCGCCTCGAGAAACGAACGACGACGGGAGTAGAATCGCTCGCCGAGAGTGTCACAGTGAGACGTGCCGCAATTGGTGCTCACGTCGACGCGCACGTTTCTGCGTTCGTTATCGAGAGGTACACCCAGTGCTTCGGATACTCGTTCGTTTGGTGGGACGACGCTGCATCGCGGAATAAATCCTTCATTCGTCGGCGCGTCATTCCCTTTCGAGCCTCTTCCGGCTCTCCTCACTCTGGTCCTGCGACGCCGTGTGTGATGCGCTCATTCGCCTGATCGCGAAAGACGTCCTCCTCCTCCTCCTCGCTGGCCGAGCGATCTTCCGAGAGCGACGGAAAAATCCTGCGAGACGAGAGTCCGCGGAGTAGCGGAGAAGAGGCGGTGAATTGGTGTTAAAACGTTAAATGATCTGATCGCGCGAGATCTGGATGTGAACGGACGAAATTCAGCGTGTACGCGTAATTAGTGCGTGCTCCTGACAGTGCTGGTTGAAATTGTTGTTTGTGTCGGAAGTGCAATGCTTCATTGCGAAACGCCACTTGGAGGAAGGGTGGTACGCGCCGCGCAAGATTGTCGAATATCCGATGTCTTTCCGATACCGCGCGTACGAAATCTCATTAGGATTCTTCCAATCGCGGCACTCGATATTTTCGCGCACCGGCGGCCGCTTTCAGGCAGTGTCATCTTGCAAAAATCGATGTTTCAAATCGGACGTTGTTCTCGCCGCGGCGAGTCAACGGGTCCTCCTCCGAAATCGCGAAATCGTCGGCTGAATCAATCGGGAGGGAATCTCTCTCGGAGGATACGTGCGTGCGACGAACGCTTGTCGAAAACTTGTGAAACGGTTGCCTATGAGATAGACCGAGGTGGAAAGAGAGAGGGGAAGATAGTAGTCGCGCTGGATGTTGAATGTTCTAATCGCGCGTGTGCCTAACGAATAACGTCAAAATGTATCTTTCTTTTCTGGGTTGCAGCTTCGAGCGGGAGACGCGTTGCAGCGAGAGATTCCCGCGCAGGAGAGGAAGACTGGACAAAGCGGAAGAAGCAGAATAAGACGAGCAAAGCAGAAGCGGAGGAGCAGAAGAGCGAAAGAAGACCGAGAGCCGAACGAGTAAAAGCGGGGTTGCGAGGAAGCAAGTGATTAGCGAGTTGATTGTGCGAATACGAAAATAGCGAGGGAGGTGACAGAGGACGGAAAGATCGGGAGTAGCTACGGGAGCGCAGAGAGAAAGAAGAAGAGTAAAGATCGAGAGGGAGAGGAAAGTGGAGAGAAGGGGAGAGATAGACAGAAAGAGAGACAGAGAGAAAGAGGGAGAGAGAAAACGAAGCAAGAATCGGAGAAAAGCTCGACAGAGAACCCCGCGCTGCATACATATATATTTCAGTGTGTTCAAAAACGAGTGTACCTAAGTGCAATATTAATTAAACCTAAACGATAATAAGAAGCAACCACAATTACCATCGACGATATCGGTAACGACGAGCGGTGATCGATAATCGAATAGAATTCCTTTTAAAGAGTTAAAACGCTAGAGTCGCATTTCGAGGAGGAGTCATCGACGGACGCGACAGCCGCTACGGAGGGAAGAGAGAGGGTCGGCGCATAAAGCAGAGGCGGAAGCCGAGGAAAACGGAGTGACGGAAATCCCGGAGAGGAACGCTCTCGTCCCGCTTAAAAGAATTTCACACGGACTCACCGACAGGCGAGACACGCGCGCGAGACAGCGGACACACACTTTTTTCGAAGGCTGGGCGCGCGCGTTCTCGCGACACACACGCACGCACACACCACACAACACCGCACGCACATAACGGGGCTAAAATACTCAGGGCAAAACGGGACGAGCGGTAATCATCCGCGAGTGTGATTTCTCACCCCGAAGAAGAGGAGGAGGAGGAAGAAGAAGACGAAGAGAGCGGAAGCCTCACCCGACCGGTATCTTGATTCGCGTCCGCGTGGACTATCCTTCTCGTTCACACCGTCCGGGCTGGGCAATCCTGAATTTTAACCTGAACTTAAGTGTACGATAGAGTTTAAGTTAGATAGACGAAGGAAATAGGCCGTTCTCCCATTCGCTGGAGAACGTTCGCTCGCACGCGCAGCAACTCACGCAAAGCACACGCGTAAAACACACACAGACACACACACACACAGAGGAGGGGGAGAAGAAAGGAGACGACCGAAAGGACCGCGCACGCATGCGGCACTAACCTGCGTGCGTGAGAAGCCATACCACGATAAAGGACGCATTACGGAAGTATCGACTGCGATCGGAGGTGCGAGAGGCACCGCGCGAACAAGAACGACAGCCACGACGTAGAGAAGGAGCGAGGGAGAGATCTGGGAGAGGACCCGGAAGAGGGAGTGGAGGAATCATAAGAGGAACTTTGATGAGACAGGCGGTAGGTAGCAGTGCCGGGAAGTCGCAGCAGGTGGCGAGTAACTGACGTTGCCCGCCGCCCACGTCGAAGCTCGGCACGAGGATCGTTATCGTTACGACGATCCCGAGCTGAAAAGCAGCGACCGAGCGAGACGAAAGATAGGAAGTAACGGCGGCGAGCGCAGAGGTGTGCCGGCCGTCGAGCTGCTTACCGGAAGGGGTGCGAAAAAGCGGGCAAGCTGCGCCGGAAGGGGGTAGCCCGGGCTTCTCGCGAAGGCCTCAAAATTTCGGACGCGACGGCGGCCCTGGACCTGCGTGCACAGACGCAAGCCCAACCGGACTTCGGCCTAGACCATCAGCAGCCGCAACATCACCATCCGCAGCAGCAACAGCAGCAACCGCCGCAGCAGCAGCAACAGCAACAACAGCCGCAGCAACAGCATCCGCAGCAGCCGCAGAACCAAAATCCCGAGTCGCGCACCCACCATCACCTGCAGCAGCAGCAACACCATCATCAGCACCACCCGGGCAATCATCTTCACTCTGGCGATTCGGGGGGTGGGATAGGAGGTGGAGGAGGCGGCGGCGGCGGAGGCGGTGGCGGCGGAGGTGGCGGTGGAGGAGGAGGAGGCGGCGGAAACGCCGGTGGTGTTGCTGTTGTTGCTGGCGCGGGGCCACCGGGGCCCGAGCCGGACCGCACCACGAGGATTCACGACGACGAGGAGGAGGATATCACCGAGAGGGAGGACGAGGAGGAGGACGAGGATCCGTGCAGCTCGCCGGAGCCCGATCTTGAAAACGAGTCCGAACCAATGGAGATCCAGGCGTCGGCTGTCACCGCGGCAGCCGCGAACCTTCACGCGCTACGCCAACACGTATTCAAGATGTCGGACTACTGGCAGCAGCCGCAGCGGGGTCCACCCCAACATTCGCCGGGGATACAGCACAGTCCTATCTCCAATTCGACGCAACAGCAGCAGCAGCACCAGCAGCAGCAGCAGCAGCAGGTACAGCAGATGCACAGTCCGTTGGGTCAGCAGCAGCAGCAACAACAGCAGCAGCAGCAGCAGCAACAGCAAAGCGCGGTGTCGCAGGTGCAGCAGAACGCGAACGCGAGTCTCGGGCAAACCGCGAGTCCGCAGATGCAACAGCAGCACGCCATGTCGATGAACCAGACGAATCAAGGGCCGCAGCATCAGTCTTCCCCGGCACCGACCACGCCGTCGCCGCAGGCGGATCACCAAGGTGCCATCGCCTCCAGCATGGCCCAGAGCCTGCACAGCCTGGCGCAAGCACAGCAGACCATGTCGCAAGCGTCCAGCCCGTCGCTGGCGGTGCAGGCTGTCCAAGCGGCCCAGGCCCTCAATCAGAACCTGGGCCAGGCGCTGACCCAGGCGCTGACGCAGAACATGCAGCAGAACCTCGGCCAGACCCTGCAGCACAATCTGGCGCAGAGCCTCACGCCGAATCTGTCGCCGCAGCAACAGCAGCAGCTGCTCAACCAGCCGCAGAACCTCAGCCAAGCGAGCCAGAGCCTGCAGCAGAACATCCAGAGCCAGGCTCAGAACCTCTCGCAGACGTTGCAGCAACAGGCGCAGAACCTCACGCAGAATCTCGGCCAGGCGCTGAACCAGCAGGCGCTGCAGCAGCAGGCGCAGAATCTCACGCAGAATCTGCAGCAGCAGGCGCAGAACCTCACGCAGAACCTGCAGCAGCAGGCGCTCAACATGGCCGGCACCATCGCGCAGAACGGCGGCCTCGCCGGCATGAACATGTCGGCCAATCAGCAACAGAATTCCCAGAACTCGATGCTGAGCCCAGGCGCGACCAGTCAGGACTCCCACGACGCCACGCTCACGGAAAAGCTCGTCAACGAGTTACAGGTGAGAGACGAGCGCACGCAGCTTCGGGTTTAACCGCCTACCTCTCCTGCCGCGGCTGTTTTTCTTTCCGCCTTTGTCTAGTTTCTTCTTTTATTTTCCATTGTTTCCCGAGCGCGTCTCCGCCCGAGGGACAGGCACGAGAGAACGAGTGTCTTTATCTCTCTTTCTCTCTTTCTCGTGCAGCGCGATCACGTTCGCTCGCGATCTCGCAGCCGCCAGCCGCGCGCTGCGAAGAGAGCAGCGCGATAAATAACTAGGGCGAGGCGACCGCGATAAAAATACATAACGCACCGATAAATAGGGTCATTCACTCGGGCCGAGACAGACGCCGGACAATACTTTCGAGCGGTTTCTCCTCTCCTCGCGGGGAAAAATATTTATTCAACGGCGCGCTCGACGGTTCTCTCTTTCTCTCTCTCTCTCTCTCTCTCTCTCGACGCGTCGTCGTCCAGCCCTAGGCTGTCGCGAGCAGCATCAAGGTTCCTCCCTCCCCCTCCTACGTGCGTGGTCGCGCTCTCTCGCGTAAATTCGCGCGCGCTCGCGAGCGCCGCTTTTAACGCTTCGCGTCGCGAAAGTTGGTCGTTTCGCGCGCGAAAAAATCGGACGGCGATGCGGCCGGAATGCGCGTTCGCCTCACCGACGCGCGTATTCTCTCTCTCTCTCTCTCTCTCTCTGGTCGCCGAGCGACCTACCAGATGGTTGCTTCCCGGTTGCGGCTGCTTAAGTAACATTACTTGCAGACAACGTTTAATCGAGCAACCGTTCGGCACTCGTTCGGAAACGAGCGGTAGCTTTTACGGTAATTTAGCGTCACCTCGCTAGCGCGCCGCCTAGTCACGTGTCACCGACAATTTCGTCGGTTTGATTTCGCGACTGTACCCAGATACGCGCGCTGACCACGGATCTCATACGCGCGTGCACGCACACAGACACACGCGGGCGCACACGTGCGCGCCGAGCAGAGTACGTTGACTTACCACAGCGTAGTAACTTACACGCTCGTACACGCGGAAGAGAGAGAGAGAGTATGTGTGTGAGAGAGAGTGAGCGAGAATGAGCGAGAGGAGGAACAAGGGGGAGAGAGTGAGAGAGTGAGTGAGTGAGCGAGTGAGAGAGAGAGAGAGAGCACGCACACGTCAAAGTAGCAGTGCAGTCCGCAAATGCGAACGCGGCCCACGCACACCAATGCAGGGAGATGCAGATACGTCGTCTCCCGGGGTTCTTGACCCGCGCAACACAGATAATACCATACGCATACGTCATACGGTACGCCGGGAAGATGTTACCAAGAAAATATCGCGCCGTGTTTCTGCGACGGCATGGGCCGCGGAGTCTCGATACGATGAGAGTAGAATGAGAGAGTGAGCGCGCCTGAGAGAGAGAGAGAGAGAGAGAGACTCTGTGTGTGTGTGAGTATGCGCGAGAGAAAGAGAGAAGAAAAATCGTATCTCCTCGACATAGCGGAACTTCGAGAGATCGCGTTAGCAAGTTCGAGCATCGGCAATTTGTAATTAGCGAGACAGTAAATATCGTTCGTGAGAAAACCCGGAGAGCAGCCTCTCGCAGCTTCGATCCGCGACGGGAACACGCCTGATAACAGCGTCAGATTGAAAATTCTGTCGTTACTAATAGCACCGGTGGCTTTAGTGGGAATCTCCCGTTGTCGCGAGCGCGATTAACGCGCGCGCAAATACCGATATATTAATTAGAGATTAATTAGAGATTAGAGCGAGTCCCACACGACGACCACCCTGTGCGAGACAGAGCTGCACGCTGTCGTCCCCGTCACTCGCTCTTCTCGCGTTCGTCGACCGTCGACGACGGGCGAACGCTCTTTTTTTTTTCCGTTTTTCAATCGTTTCTCGTTTCTTTACATCCGTATGTCCGTTCCCGAAGTAGTAGTAGCAGCTTCCTCCGACGAGGAGTAGGCTTTGTAGTAGAGACGGTTAGTAGCGCCTAAAGGACGACGAAGGAGGATAGGGAGGACTAACATGAGCTATCCTATCTTGCCTGATAGTCTCGTGCCTCTGCGGCGGGGCTTGGAGGTGCAGTAGGTGCCGGCGGTGGTGGAGGAATGGGCAACATCAGCGAACGCACCCTCGAGGAATGCTGGTCCACCCTGCAGCGAGTGAGTTGAACACTCAGCCCGTTCAAAAAGCAAACCCCCTACTATCTTATTATCGCTCTTCCTTGCCTTCCACGCGCACGTGCGTCCTAACCTCCAAGTTCTCGCTTTTACCTCCGGCCGACCAAAACACCACGGTCATCCCCGACTGGCTCCCCCCCCCCCCC